AACCTGTGACTCCTTTTTGGAGCCGGGGGGATTTTTTTTGTGTGTTTTGTTGGAGATGGAAGACTTAAATATTGGCAGGGTGGGGAAACAATGTGCTCCCACTGCCTGACAACTTGTAGGATTTTTCCTTTTCAGAACTGCAGGGGGTTACATCTTTCACTCCTTAGCCTCACTGCAGTAAGTAAAAGACTTAAGAGATGTTGGAGGGCTCTGTGGAAAAACGGAGGCGAGCTCAGAAGCTACAAGGAATAGCATTGTCTGTCAAAACAATGTTTTGAGCTCTCTGTTGCGTTTGGTCATAGCTGCCTGCTTGGCACTGATCACATTGGTCTAGACTATTAAATATAGGAGTCCCAAAAAATAGTACAAGTAGAGGTCTTGCTTGTTGAAGTGTTATGTTTTGCAAAATCCTCCAGTCAGATGCTACAGAAAGTTTCTAAAGCAATGTTTTTCTCTGAAGAAGAAAGAAGTATCGCTTCAATGAACAGGTCTACAGTCAGCACTTCTTCAGTCCTGTCCCTGTTTAGTGGTAGTAACCAGTATGTCTCTTTGGGTGAAGCAGAGAAGTGAGTTTGATGCCTCGGGGACCCAGTTATATGAAAGGCTGAGCAAGCTCAAGTCCCACAGAAGTCAGTCTGAGATTGAAGTACTTGATGTTTTGTGTGATCGGATGCCAGCATCATTAGCTGAATGCCAAGTGCAGATTTGGGTTTTTCTCTCTTTGTATCTTTGCTGCTAATGGCAGTCAAATGAAAGGCAAGTGGTATAAAATTAATTTTGAGGTTCTCTATTTTTATCATCAAAAAGATCTCAGCTTGCCTTAGAGTCTGTGCCTTGGGTTTAAAGAATTAGCAGCAAAGAAACCTCATGCTGCTTTTTCTATGAAGTAAATAGTTTTGCTTCTGATTCATGCAAACATAAATGTCCTGTGATACTTTCACAATCCTTTGTCAGAGGGGGGTGAAAGTCCTGAATTCAGAGCTTATTTAAGCAGGTTACTGTAATCTGTATTTTTTGAAGAAGTTACTGTTTTGGGTAAATTGGAGAGCTCTTAATTTTTGAGTGGATGCTGAAGCATGATGTGTGTGATGTATTATACGTGCATTCAAATTAACCATACCACTCTTTTTGTTAATTAATTATGTTTCCTGATTCTGTACAATGTAACATACCTCCTTGAGTCTTTTCTTTCTCCTCATCTGAACCAGAATACTGATCCATCAAAAGCGTGTGCTGAGCACGTCACAAAAATTTCAAGCCACAGTCCTGTAGACACACCTAGTAGATTCAAATTGTTGCATGAAGCCTGGTCAATTTAGGGTCATGACTGTTACCTTTCTGTGATGATTTCTGCTCCATAGTTTTCACCAAGCAACACAATGAGGTCTAGCAACTTTAAAATAAGATGATGTTCAAAATCAGGAGAACGTTGTTTTGCAAAGTTTTGCATGACATCTCCGCAGTGAGGTGATGGGTGTACAGTTTGACTGTTTTCCTTGGACCGTGAGGTTCGTTCTGTGGGCTGACTTTTTGTTACATGTTTGCATGCCTTCTGCACAGTAGGGCCCTTGCCTATGGCTGAGGTTTGCCGTCAATTAATGTGTCTGCTTTTGTGGTGCAATAAACAGGCTACTTTTTAGAGGAAAACGAAACGCATCACGAAGGTAAATTATCACTGAATTATTATAGAAAAATTGCTCTGGGAGAAGCAGATGATTGTGTTCTTGGCCTGAGTTGAAAGTAGATACAGACCTACTCTCATGTACCTGCGTCCTACTGGGGTCAGGTACTCGCTTTAGTGGTAGTTCAACTTACACTTTTTTTTCAGCAATTATTTAAGAGAATATGAGGAAGTTAAAATTGGAAAGCTAGGAATGAAATTATTTCTAACAAGGGCCAATGAGAAATAGTAAGCGTAATAGTATGTTTTGTATGACAATTATAAAACTGATTTATTTTTTTCTTTCCTGTTTAAAGGAAGAGCCAAGGCTGGATGTTCTGATAAATAATGCAGGGATATTCCAGTGTCCGTACATGAAGACAGAGGATGGTTTTGAGATGCAATTTGGTGTAAACCACTTGGGTCACTTCTTGCTCACCAACCTTCTTCTGGGCCTCCTCAAAAATTCTGCTCCGAGCAGGATTGTGGTAGTATCCTCAAAGCTTTACAAATATGGAGAGATCAACTTTGAAGACTTGAACAGTGAAACAAGTTACAATAAAAGCTTTTGTTACAGTCGGAGTAAACTGGCTAACATATTATTTGCAAGGGAGCTAGCCCGTCGGTTAGAAGGGACAGGAGTCACCGTCAATTCCCTTCATCCTGGGATTGTCAGAACAAATCTAGGCAGGTATGTGAATATTCCTCTGCTGGCAAAACCCCTGTTCAACTTGGTGTCATGGGCTTTCTTCAAAACACCTCTGGAAGGAGCCCAGACTTCTATTTATTTGGCCTCTTCTCCTGATGTGGAAGGCGTGTCAGGAAAATACTTTGGGGACTGCAAAGAGGAGGAACTCCTGCCCAAAGCCATGGATGATTTGGTTGCAAGAAAGTTGTGGGATATCAGTGAAGTGATGGTTGGCTTATTGAAATAAGTGCCAGGGGGTATCTGCGAAATAGAAGGCAGGTAACTATGGAACACGTATTTGCAACAGTGTCGTTCTCACTTTAAATGCTGCGGGAATACAGATTACTTTGCTCAGTAAGTGTTAAATAGAGGAGTGATTTATGCTGGAACTCTGTCTTGAAATAAAGGACAATCTTTACTTGATGGACACAGGCATTCAAAAAGAGTCTGAAATAGAGTTTGAGGGTGTGAATATAATTTCTGCTTAAATTTGCTCAGAAACTTATGTTTTACAAGTAAAAGTTAAACAAAACTGGTTTGCAATCTATATGCGTATTTGACACGTTCCACTACTTGTAGTTGGGCTGGACAATGCAGGGTACTGATGGTGAAACACTTCCATAAAAAGGTTTTAAAAATAGATCCTAATAATAATAATAATAATAATAGGATTGTTGGATTTTTTTGAGCCATCACAATGAAAAATGGAATAAAGCTTTAGTGATCGCTTACACTGTAATCATTTAGGCCTCCGAGTGCCGTTCAAAGACTTGTCAGCCTCATGGTTCAGTGAACAAAACTGTTGAGCCATATACAGTTTAGCTGTGAAGCACAAAGTCAGCTTTTCTGAGTGATGTTGCTGCTGTTCAATGAGTGTATACTCTTGGTTGTGCAAGCTGTATTTTTATTTTCGTGTGTGCTGAACTTGGTATTTCTTGATATGCAGGCACCTTGGGTTTCATTAAAAAGGTAGTAGATGGATGTATTCTGGTCTTGATAGGGCTTTGCATGCCACAAATTGTGTGCCTACAAAGTTCACAAGACCTCCCCCAGATTAGGCTGAAGAGAATATGCTTTTCAGTTTGTGTTTGGCTTGACTGATGGCACTTTAACTCAGTAATGAGATTAGCTGAGTCTAATACAGCTTGCTGAATATTCTTTAATAAAAATATTTTTAAAAAATACTTAGTGTTCTTTCTTTCACTGTGGAAGATACATCAGAAACTAGCTGTCTTGACACAGTAGCCTTGTTTCAAACCAGAAGATTCACCTGTCTTGGTTTAGGGAGCCTGTAATGTAGGGTTGGTAGAAATAAAATGGGCTCCAAATAAATGCATGGGTATTACCTGAAGCTGTACTGATTTATTCTTTTTTAATTCATGTAGCTAATAGTTCATATTAACATTTATGACTTCTTGTTTTGTTCTACTGTAATAAAATGCTCTAGCAGTTAAATCAAGATACATAGAATAAATATGGAAGAATGATTTAGAGTGATCTATCTTAATAAATATGACTCAAGGGAAGGATTATCAATAGTAATAATGGTGTCTTCAGTAGATCCTTATTACCTGGTTATAAGTACATGTTAGTTCTTTAGCTCAGGTAGCAACCAACCAAATTTTTGACATTCTTTCTCTGGTTGTTTACTCAGACTCTCAGCATATTTTAACTTTTGCACAGTGGAGTGGACCTGATCTAGCCTTACCCTTCACCAGGAAGATTGTGCACTGAGTGAGTGACTTGGGTGGGGGTGGAAGTGGCATTCCAGAAAATCACGAGGCAAGCTACAAAATGGAGCAGGATTTTAAGATTTTCTAACATGTTGAACTTTGCATTCTCACTGTAAGGCAAGCTGTAGAGATGGGCATGTTGTCAAAGCGTACTGTGAGCATTGAGCAAAGTTCTGGAAGTAGTGCTGGAGGGAGGTGTCTAACATGCTTAGAGAAGATTCTGCTTTGATCTTTAGTATTGCATTTCACATTTTCGTTCTAAATACTTGTAATCAGGTGCACGCAGCACCCTTGACACAGCCAGATCAAGAATTAAAAGTTCATTAACATGAGGTTCTCTTGTGGGGAGACACAGAGAAGCTGAGCCAAACCTGGGTTTGTGTTTTCAGTACTACCATAGCAACACTGAAGGAACACCACTTTACTGTTTCACTGCTGAAACACATGTATACCCCTTGCAAAGAAGGCCTTGGATGCAAAGGTGGAGTATGGAGAAGATGGCTAGTCTCAAAATAGTGTAGTGAAATGCTGCACTGAAACTGAAGAGCAGAGGAATATATAATTTTTCAGACTGAATGACCAACATAGGCGTGCACTAGTCTTCAAAACAGCAGAGGTGGGTTCCTCCTGAAATAAAAGATGTGGAATAAGAAGTGCCAGCTGTGTAGTTATGGCTGCATAACATGTAATGCATCATACATCTACAAGGTGCTTGTTTTTATTTTCTTTTGAAACATTGCAGAAATAAGAGCCATTGCCAGAAAGGGATTACATTCCTGCAATAACTAAATTACAGCCCTTATTCCAGAGTAGGACAATGATTAATGGAACATTAAGGAATGGATATTGCCTGAACACAATTTGAAAGGATGTTAGCAACTTACCAAAAAGTAAGCTTTTTTCATCGTCTGAAATAAGTAACATTTGTCACTTTTGAGGTTGAATGTGATCTAGCCTCTGTGAAACAGAGAGCTTTGAGTAATTTCTTGAGACTTGATGCCTTTGTTATTTTACTAGCATCTAGGAACTGGAGACCTCATAGGTCAACAGATCTTGCAAAATGTAAGTGCAAAACCAGAGAGCCCTTGTTTCAACAAGCAGTAATGCTGATTCAGTCTGGGTTAGAACCAAACATTTTGGCCGAGGAAGTTTACTCTACAGGGCCTTAGTAAGCTCAGGTATATGGGTATGGCTTGAGGACTGTCTGCAGAATGGCTCCCCTTGGAGCTGGTAGAGGATGCTCTAAGAGGAGATCAGCACCTTCACACTTCACCCCAGTATTACAGTGCCTTCAGAAAGATGTGGCAAGCTCTGTGTATTACTACTGTATAAACAATTTATATCGACGGCGTGCAGCCAAAACTGGGATGCATTCCAGATGCCTCCTTCCACCATCACCATCAAATGAGCACCACCAACCTCAAATTAGACTTAATTCCCATGAAGAATTAAGCTTTTAAAAAATAAGGGTGAAGGGGGCAGACAGTGACCAGGAGTAGCATGTGAAGCCCATGGAAATGCAGGTTTCCTTGGTAGGTACGGACATGGTCACATTGCTTTAGGTAAGTGTGTTACAGATACGCAAGGAAGCCACAGCTGAGGTTGAGGCCTTTTTGAGGTCTGTGATAAACATAAACGTTATGAGGCAACTCTTTCCAAAGCTAAAATGTAACTTCAGCTATTGTGCATAAATCGTTAGAATCTGAGCGCTTGATTTTGGGTCCATCAGCAGTGTTGGGCCAGTGTTCCATATCTGCCCTGGGAATTTAAAACTGGCTGGGATGTGCACAAGGCACAGTGACTCCTGAGACTGTAGCCTTTTGCTTTTTACAGGGGAAATGCCTCTGCCCTGCCATAGCTGAGAGGTGGAGGGCCCCAGCAGCGATTAACTTGACTGTTTGCAAACTTCCCCGCTGGAGCCTTTGGCCAGTCTCAGCAATGAGTGGAAATGCTTCCAAGTGCCTCCATTTCTCGATGTCACATTTCGTATGGCAGCAACATCCCAGACTAATGGTACTCTAAAAGAGTTATTTTCAAATTGGCGTATGGGAGTGTGTGTGTGCAGGCACCTGTGCAGGTGCAATTTAATCCCTCGTTTGAATTGATGGACAGGAAGAGCTGTCAATGATTTACTGAGGAGCTGAGGGGAGAAGAGAGTGGGTTGTTAGCAGAGGATCAGGAGGATGGAGCCAGGCTCTTCTTGGTGTTGGCCAATGACAGGACAAGGGGCAGCGGGTGCAAGCTGGAGCATAGGAGGTTCCACATGAACATAAGGAAGAACTTTTTCACTGGAACAGGCTGCCCAGAGAGGTTGTGGAGTCTCCTTCTCTGGAGACATTTAAAACCCGCCTGGACATGTTCCTGTGTGACCTACTCTAGGTGGTCCTGCTCTGGCAGGGGGGGTGGACTAGATGATCTTTCGAGGTCCCTTCCAACCCCTAATATTCTGTGATTCTGTGAGTGTCACCTGCCGCCTGTGCTGCTTTGGTACGTGATGAGACATTGGGCTTGGGGACAGATGTTGTGCTTGAGCTCAGCGTTGAGCTCAGCTGCTTAAAGTTGCATTTCAGTAGACATACTACTGTCTGCTTTTGCAGCTGGAGAACACACAGGCATGGCCAAGGGGAGGAAATGTGTCCATGTAATGGGTGAGAGAAACAGGCTTCAAGTGTCCTAGGGAGAACGTTTTTTAACTGCTTCAGCATAATTTATTCATCTTTGGCTATGGTGCTTTTCAAAGTGCCCCTGTAACCAACTTCCCTCATGGATAGATCAAGAGTTTAAGAAAGAAATAATTTCCTTTTTTTAAAATTTCTTTTTTTCTTTTGGTTCTCAGTCTTTTGGAGCCAGTCCTACCTGCACGCATGTAGCTATTAGAACTGAAGTTTCTGCAAGTGAACTAAATTGCAGTTACATGTATTTATTTTATATGCCCCATATGTTTAAGTCAAGGGAGACTTATATACATTTTTTAAAAAAAATATTCTGAATCCGTCACCAATTTACCTTTCTTACCTTGCCACAAAGGCCAACATCTATCCCCAGGCAAAGGGACAACGCTGCTCTTTCAGTTACTACAGTCAACACAGCAGGCAAGGTTATAAACCCAGCGGGGGTTCTCCAGTAAAAATTCTCCATCTTAATGAGATAAATGATCAGTTTTTCCATGATGCAATAAAACCAGAAGTATTTAAACTCTCCTGTCTTTCTTCAGCAGTTGCCTGGTTTGCCTAAGCTTCCTACTAAGTGAATGCTTCACAGGCTTCAAAGCCTGAGCTCTGTGAATATGCGGTGTGATTATGCTTTTGCCGAAAAATATGTGTAATTCCCACTTCAAGCACACTTAATTTCTTTCCACCTAAGGCTATACGGAAAATAAACAGCTTACAAGAGTCATACAAATAATTTTAAAATGGGAGGCCTGTTCCCTTTTTCACATAACTTTTTCCAAACTAATCACTTAGAGAGTAATTGACTTGCAAAACGATCCAGGAGGCCTCCACAGTTGAATTATTAGTTTTGATCTGTCCCAGAATGGTGCTGCTATTTCTCATAACAGAAAATGACGACCTCCCTCTAGACTTTTTACTTACTGCTTTAGCTACCACTAGCAGCCTCACACCTGTCGTAACTGGATTCAGATCAGAGAAATTAATTTGAATATTTAATTAATTCCAAATGTCCCATGTAACGTGGCAAAAGGAGTGCTTTCCTAATTCCTTTTTGGGGGAAGGCTCACTCTGACCACCTAACAAGGTTGATAGCCCTGTCTTTCTGCATTTAAAAATTATCACT